GAAATTGTAAATTGGCCACCGTACGGTGGCCAATTTACAATTTCCGATGGCTTTACGGTGGCCAATTTACAATTTCAACTTAGCTGATATTACCGAATTAGCTACCTATCTATTTATCTATCTGAGTAGCGTTCCTATTAATAGACTTTCACGCATGCACCTAAAATGACATAGCCCATTTCCGAATTGCCTTTTAGCCTCTTTTTCAAAGCGAGTCCAGGTGCTCATCCTTTCGTATGGTAATAAGTTTTCATTCACATGCAAGTTAAACTCATTTTCATACATAAGGTTGAGCAACAGGTCTCGTTTTGAAAAGAGGCCAAACGTAATTCGGAAATGACCTAACCATTAAAGACATGAGGGGAATACTTCCTTAGTTATCCTAGCCCCCAGGGCTACAAACAGTACTTGTAAATGTAACAGATATTTCCTCTTTAACTATTATCTTAGAATTTTCCATTTGCTTTTGTGATCATCTCTTATGAGTTCTCTGACAGCTGTGAATCGATTTAACAGTAAAGACAGTAAACCACCCAAAAAAAAGAAATTATCGTAATTTTTTCTTTCTAGATAATGGGATTGGAAATTTTCCTGTCGATTGCATAACAACGATACAAACGATACAGGCTTTGATCTGTCCCAGATCGACAACCAATCAATTGTCAGTAAACGTCACCCTTCCTTTTCAGATCACGTGACAGACAGCAGGCTTTATGATTTCTCGGAATCATAGCATTGCGGATTCAAGGAAAAAACATTTGCATTGGTCATTGTTTTTACAGAAATGGAGGTAAGTTACTCCCTTTTCAAAGTTCGATTTGTTTGAAGAGTTTTCATAACTAGATGTCTCAAAATCAGATACCAAAAATCGACCCTCATAGATGGGTTCTTGATTCCAGGGCTTACTGTATTTTGCGAAACGAAACGAAACGAAACGAAACGAAACGAAACGAGTAAACCTGGGAGCAACTTCAGAATACCCGTCCACATCATTTACATGTGTCGGGAGGCTTTGAAGAATGAAGCATAACACAATAGATGCTATTCTTATAAGTTATAGATCGCTAGAGTCTTCGAAGAGCTGGTTTCGCAAAATGCAGTACGGTTCGTTTCGCAAATTACAGATTTACATATCTGTAATTTGCGAAACGGCGCACTTCTTACCTTTTGGCTCAAACTCTATATTTACAAATCATCGCTGCATCGAGTTGTATCTACGAATAGTGTTTAAGAATCGGAAGAAATAAGTTAGATATCGCTAGGTTTACTCGTTTCGTTTCGTTTCGTTTCGTTTCGCAAAATATAGTAAGCCGTAATTAATAGGTAAAAACTCACGGTGGAAATGTGAAATATCTAAAATATGACAGAAACAGAAAATAATAAAATTGATGTGCAAGAGATGACACACTAACGGAGCCTATTAAGATTCCAAATATTTGAGCGATGAAATTTTAAAAGCATCATATGGTAGACCTCTCATGTCTTCTGGGAGGGAATTCTAGTCTGTCAATGCACTATCAAAGGATCTGAGCTTTCCACATGACATGCAGTTTACCCTATTTTTAAGAAAGATAACAACAGAGAAGCTCCTCTTACAGGGCGTTCGTGAGCGGTTTGTCGATTGACCCAATCCATGCCACAAAGACGGTGGGTACGATTAATTTATGTTCACATCACGGAAAACAGTAAAGCCTTCATGTTAGATCCATATCACGTCCCACTATAACTGATATCCGTTAGTACTAAGTATTACAATCTTCATGTATGTTGCATGGTATGTCCAAGCTAACCTTGTTCTATTAGTTACTCTAGTCTTCTTTGAGTTACCCTTGTTCTACCCCATTCACCCCCATCTACCCTAAGTTACCCGCATTGTACCACATTAACTCTCATCTACCCAAAGTTGCCCATGTTCTACCATGTTAAATCTCATCTACCATAAGTTACCCATGTTCTACCACATTAACCCTCATCTACTCTAGGTTAGCCGTCTTTCACATCGTTTACCCTAGCTTAGCCATGTTCTACCACGTTTACCCCCATCTACCCTTGGTTAGCAATGTTCTCCCACGTTTACCCCCATCTATACTAGGTTAGCCATGTTCTACCACGTTAACCCTCATCTACCCTTGGTAACCCATGTTCTACCACGTTCACCCCCATCTACCCTAGGTTAGCCGTGTTACACCTCGATCGTTTACCCCGTCTACCCTAGGTTAGCCATGTTCCACCACGTTTACCCCCATCTACCCTTGCTTAGCCATATTACACCGCGTTTAGCCCATGGGTAAAGTCTAGGTTAGCCATGTTCTACCTCGTTTACCCCCGTCTACCCTAAGTTACCCATGTTCTACCACGCTTTCCCCCATCTAACCTTGGCTAGCCATGTTCTACCACGTTTACCCCCATCTACCCTAGCTTAGCCATGTTCTACCACGTTAGCCCTTATTTACCCTAAGTTACCTATGTTTTACCACGTTTATCCCCTCTACCCTGGGTTACCCATGTTCCACCGCGTTTACCCCCATCTACCCTAGGTTAGCCATGTTCTACCATGTTAACCGTCATCTGCCCTAAGTAACCCACGTCTAATCTCATCTACCCTAAGTTACCCATGTTCTACCACCTTATCCCTCATCTACCCTAAGTAACCCATGTTCTACTACGTCTAATCTCATCTACCCTAATTTACCCATGTTCTACCACGTTAACCCTCATCTACTCTCAGTTAATCGTGTTCTACCACGCCATAGTTAGTAGAGGGGACTACTAACTATGGAATGAACATGTGTACATGTGTGATAGATCCTGGTTAAATTAGGGTTAATGTGGGTCAAAGTGGTGAAACGTGGCTAACCTCGGGTAGATTGGGGTTACCCTTGTAGAACATGGTTAGCTAAGGTAGATGGAAGTTAGCGTGGACGAACAACGCTAGATAAGGGTTAGCGTGGCCTCTACTAACTATGTTCATTCCAAGGCGGAAGGGAGTGGAGACTGTTTCGTTGAGAAAAGTATATAATTAGATATGAGTCATAATTGATTGACAATTAATTTCTCTTTTCATTAAGTTCATGATACACTTGGGATTAGTAACCTCTTAAGATCGCGCAACGTGTTAAAAGTTCATTTTTAGAAGGAATCGTTCCGTGCTAAATTGTGCCCTCGCTGACCGGCGTTTCATATGATTTTGCCAACCGAATGCCCAATTGAACTGCCACCCCGTGTCTACGAGTGATTAGGAATAATCTGCTGGATATCGTCACAGAAGTAAGTGGTCGATGATATGCGATTAATCACTGTAGTTCGCTTATGTTGTAGTTTGCTTTGTAGTTTGCCCTTTCTAATATCATGTAACGTTTTCCTTAACAGATCGAATAAAACCAGAAATCATTTATACGGTTTGCGTCATCCAGTGGATTAATAAGCCCCTTTTTCGCCCCGGATCAGAGACCTCTTTAAGATGATTTGTAATCATGCGTGTCGTTACGTTAATATATCTAGTTACAAACACTGCTCACAGCAAAGTTTAAACATGTTTAAATGCTTTTTTAATAAAATCATCACTGTATCTAAGGGTTGCTCGTTGCTTTGGCTTCTAGTCCATTCAGAAGGAAAATAAAGGAAACTTTATTCACTGAGGTGAACGCAGGCGATTTATGTAATCAATAATGAATATAATCTGTAAATAGTCAAAATATAAATAATCTAACTAAACTGCCTTAATCTGAGTACAAAAGCATGGAGGGTTAATTTTTCTAACGAGAACTAGTAACTCTTGCAACATCAATTAAAACTATGTTTACTAACAGAGTAAGCATGGGAGACCGGTTATGAAACCCCGCCAAATTTTTTTTAGACATCGTAGCGGAAAATGAATCGAGTAGTACACTAATCATGTTGCTCTGAATTGAGACGAGCGCACAATACATCTCTTTTTTTTTTTTTTTTGCATGTGCGCCAACTTTTATTACACTTGCTAATAAAACTGACTCATAATTTGTCCATGATCCGCGTGTTTGCGGAGTTCCTGTCGACGATAGGAACTCTGATCCTTTCAGCCTTTTATGGATTCCGGGTGACCTTTTTCTCTTCACCCCTGACGGCTTTGAGGTAGGGCGCGAACTGGCACCGTACACATTTTTGCAACCGACACAGGAGCACGAAGAGGAGCATCCCTGTCCATAACATAACATAGCATAATCTTTATTTCTTAAGATAAAATCACATATCCTAAGTTACAACATAAACTCACAAGGGATACTATTACATGTCATATTTAAAAATTATCCTATTACTAAAAACGTTCTTAAACCTTTCAGTGTGGATTCTAGGGACAGAGACTGACGTATTTCTAAGATTGTACCTCATGTTCTTTTCCTTAGGTAAAAATTGGAAAAACGGGCATTCGGGGTTATTCGATCTTTTTTTGTAGAGTGCCTTGTCCATGTCTCAGGCAGGGCACTTTTTGGCATCTTCCCTCTTCTTGGCCAAACTTTCTCCACGTCTACAGCTTAGGTGTCTACATGGTATTGTACCAGCTAAATCTTCCCCGTTGGTCCTTACATCCCGGTTCAAATTGTCACAGTTTTTGCAACTGCACCTTCTAGTACACGACATTCCTTTCCGCACACAAGGGCAGACCTTGCGTGCGGATGAAAGGCACGATGACTTGCTTCCTCTTGCCATATTTTTGCCACAACAACAGCCTTTAGGATTATCTTTTACTGATATTTCAGAATCTGCAAGATACAGAAATTACATTTTGTCATAAATGAGTGTTAAAGTGAACTGCCCTTGTCGGCAACTGTTGTTCCTTTTCTACCTGTTTATATCGGTTGTCAGCCTTTTTTTTAGAAGAATAGTGCTAGTTTGAAGAGAATTTTGTTACCTTGAAGGCATTTTTGATGTTTTTAAAATCTGTTTATAAAACTGCTTTGACTGAACTATTACAGGCTATACACCACAACAAGTACAAAAGTACATAAGGCTTCTGTGATAATTCTGGTTTGCAAATCATTGCTTTATTTTTCTTGTTTTCAGCTTTTTCATCACTGACTATAAGTACCGCATCTAGTACGTGCCTATGAACTGAATTAAATGACTTAAATACGAATGCTTTACCATAAAAACAACTAAACCAGACTTGTTATCAGTGAAAGTCAGACAAAAAAATTTTCACAAACAGTTCAATTTTTTTTTGTCTTCTGCGCAGTGATTTATTTGGTCTAAAAGACTATCAAAAAGGAAGCACTAGACGAAACGAACTGATAAAATATAACCCTGGGATTAAAAATTCGCTAGAGGAAGAAAGATAATTCATTGAAGCTCCTTTTTCTAATTGATTCCTCAACAGGTACAGATAAGGGCGAGACAAGCTCACCTAGCGATGTTCAAGGCAAGTTACAAAACTGAAAAGAAAAGTTTGGGTTTGAAAAGTACACTGAAGAAAGACAGAAAACTTAGAGAAGCTTCTTTTTCTAGTTGAGTCCCCAACAGGAACAGATACAGGCGAGACAAGTTCATCGAGTGATATTCAAGGCAAGTTACAATTTTCAGCATTCCCTGGCTTTTTTACATTACTTCCAAGATATCTTTTTACTCACAGGATGAAGTTTTGATCCCAGTTTATGAAAGCTTTTTCCAATTTTCGTATTCATTGCGGGGTGCCCAAGAATCATACATTCTTTGGGTTATGAATAGCTCACTTAAAAAACCATGATGAATGTTGTAAAGCATGCTCGCCTGCTTCGTCTAAATATGACAAATTTTTATATGTTCTTCCTCACGTTGAAACTTCAGAAAAAAGCTAGCGAACAATCTAGCTATTGAGTAATGAGAGATTGAAGTAATGCGATAAACCTCACAATGCACTTTTTTCATGCCACTTATTCGCTATGTCAACTGCGTTATCAATCGAATTTCTAGTCCCTTGTATTGTCCATCAAATCCGAAATGACCTGAAACTTATTACACTCAAGGCAAATTATTACTTCAAGAACTTTTTACACGATAAAACGATAAACAAGCGATGTTACGCCGAAAAGGGAGACGCAACGGAGATGTACAGGGTGAAAAAGATTGGATTAAGTCTATGGGAACAGCATGCATAAAGTACAGCTTTATAAGGGTTGCTCATGGCTTTTATCTTCTCTTCCATTCAGAGGAAAATAAAGGAAAATTTAAAGTTTTTTTCAATCTACTTTGGAGGCGCTACTTAAGGCTTCTATTCCCAATTTTCAAAAGTTAAACAAGTTTGAGTGGTGAGAGGGGGTCATTATTAAGACTGTAACTGAGGCGAACGCAGGTGATATAGGCATCGTAGCGGAAAATGAATCGATGGAGATAGATGGAGGTGAACGCGGTAGAACAAGAGTTTCCTAAGGTAAATGACGGGTAACTGATAGAACAAGGTTAACCTGGACATATCCTGCAACATACATGAAGGTTATAATACTTAGTATTAAGGGGTATTAGTTATTGGGAGGTGACCTAACATGAACGCTTTACCCAGAAAACCCTTGTAATGTGTTTACATCGGACTACGCATGCGGAAGATGAAAACTATGCGAGCTGAAAAGAAAAAGTAACGATTTATGGGACGAATACCGAACAAGCTGTTTCAACTGAAGTAAAAGGCAAACAACCTCGTTAAAAGCACGGGTTTGAGTTAGTATATAGTTTTTAAAGCTACCATAATAGTGCATTGTCTACCGATGATTTTATAACAAGGGAAAAAAATATGTGAACTCGAGATTGACTCGAGACTCGAACTTGACTCGGGCTCGAACTCGTGAAACGATAGAACTCGAGCGTACTGTATGTGAATTAGAGGTCCAAAGGTCATCAACAGGAATACCTAATATAGCGTGGGCCGTAAAAAAAAGAAGAGAAAAATTATATTAAAAATAAGCGAGAAAGCTAACCCCTTACCTTTACTGTATTCCGTAACCCGCGCCTTATCGCTTCCGGTCGTTTTACACGCACCGCTTCCCCAGACGGTGTTTTCTTGCAGCAGGGTAAAAGTAACAACGTTCCTATCGATCTCCGGGAGAGTCATTTATTTGGTCTCATGATGCGCCGTCAAGGCCGTCTGGAATGCGCGTCACAAATCGAACTGGCTAGAATGGGTGGTTAAACGGAGCGCCTCTCGGGTCGATGCAGAGGAATTTGGAAACTTTTGGTGCTCAAACGGGCAGGTATTGGCAATTCGCTCTCATTGGTGCCATTTCGAGGTAGTTTAGTCGACTTTTGTGGAATTTGTTTGCCTTTAAGTGGTGACGGTTGGTGCTCTGGACCGGTTCAATTACGGTGGCCCAAAAGTGTCACGGCAATTTCAATTTGGCCACGGCAATTTCAATTTGCTCCCGGCAAAATCAACGTGGCCACGGCAATTTCAATTTGGCCACGGCAATTTCAACTTGGCCACGGCAAATTTCAATTTGGCCAAGGCAATTTCAATTTCAATTTACTCACGGCAATTTCAATTTACTCATGGCAGTTTCAATTTACATATGACCACATGTCAGCGGAATTATTGAAAAATCGCAGTAGAACTTGCGCGTAAAACGCATAGCGGTTTAAGATGGCGGTAAACCTAAGAGTGACTTTAGAATCCTTGTTTTTTAAGGGTTATGAGTATCAGGAAATTCTCTACATGTTACGGAACACTACAACATAACAATAAGCCTTAGTACACTCAAGAGAAAGCTTAAACAGTACAAGTTACATCGAAATATGGTGGAGTTTAATCCCCGCTTTTAAGAAACGCCATATTCGACATATTAATAGATGGTCCTGGAAGTTCTGTTGGCTACCGCAGCGTTTGGCATGCTCTCCAGCAGAAGTGAATAAGGGTAAATTGAAATTGAAATTGCCGTGGCCAAATTGAAATTGCCGTGGCCAAATTGAAATTGCCGTGGCCAAATTGAAATTGCCGTGGCCACGTTAACGTTGATTTTGCCGGGAGCAAGTTTAAATTGCCGTGGCAAATATTTCCTCGCCACAATCCTCCACAGTTACCAAATCTAAGATGGCGGCCTAATACGCCGGCACTGCAGGCTAGGATAAACCCTTCGACGATCTTCTACCTACTTACGGTAATTTTTTTTCCCTTTGGAGCTACATATTTGCTCTTGAAAGGAGACAAACCAACTTCACTTTAATTCGAAAAAAGGGTCACAAAGGCTGAAAAAATCTTTGCAGATAATCCTGTAGTGACCGGAAATTACTGTTGCGGGATTGATGTAACGCTTTCACTTACTGAAACATCATCTACGGGACTATATTTGAGAACTCACTTAAATGTCCAGATCCCAGTTTCTAGAAATGAGAAACTCACAAGGGATCTAAGGAAATTGAAAATACAAATGTAAAAAATCTTAGTGGCCAGCTGGGAACTGAGCACAAAAAGGTAATTGCCACTGTGTAAAATCTAGTCACTTTGGCGACCCCACAGGTGGCGATGTTGTTGAGC